TATTTGGTGATTTGATTAGAGGGGTAAGCATCGGATTTTAGAATGTTAGAATAGCATACAACATACTCTGCGAGCACAAGGTATAAAGATCGTTATTATTTTTGTTCATGTCACTCATTATTTGAGGTTTTTAAATTTTTTCTTTAAATAAAACTCAAGAAATTATATTTCAAAGGTTTTTGATTGGCACGGAGAGAAACAAACACGTAAAGAAAGGCAGAATAAACCTCAAAATTTGAAGGTTAGAGACCCTATATAATCGAAAGGCTTTAACGACAACTGATGTGTATATATAATTATATTATTATTTTTTTTATGAACTAATAAGAACAACAAAATTATATTGTTAACCAAAATAGTCCAATCGAGCATTTTACATCGGCCTTAAGATGAAGTAAAGAACGGATGGCCCGTGAGACAAATAATTAAAAAGGGTATCAAGAAACTTAACACTATTCATTATCTCTATATGCGTTTGTTAAATGTCCTGGGTTGTCAAAAATATCTATGATCTATCTGACACGTTTGTAATAGTTAATCAGATTATTTGCAACACAAAGAATGTATGTAAATGAACATACGGTTAGTAATGCAAATTCTTTACTTGTCTATATGGCCTCCAAATGCAAAATTCTTGAGAAATATATTTTTCAAGAATAATGAACAATATCAAATATTATCTTATGATTGTCAAACTTATGCATATTTGTTTGTCAATCATCTGTTTTCCATAAACGGCAATGTACTTTAATTGCGTAATGGCGGCAATTTTAACGTTAATAATAAGTTAACAATAAAAATTGGTATGTATCAACATTACGCATTATGTATGCATGCATCGCATATTAGCGTGGATCATTACAATGATGGTGTTATTTTAAGAGCTGGTTATTATTTGAATATTATTCATATTCGGTTAATATTCGAAATGAAAGTTAAAAATTTTCCGAATAATTATTCGATTAATAACGATAATACGAATAAATAAATCTTATTCGAATAAAGTGATTTAAAACTACCATATTTCATCTTTGAATAAGATCTCATATTCTAATATCATCATATCGCTATCATAATTATGGCAGGTAATAATAAACCCCCTTCTAAACCAAACTTTAAAATTTTATTTTTATTTTAAAAATTTACATATTAAATCTATATTTGTAAAACCGAATTTTTTGAAGCAGATATCCTTACTTAGGGTTCAGTATATAGAGAGTTGATTGTATTTGGTAAGTGAGATGTTGTGTAGGTAATAGTTAGAACTAATCAATTTTTTTAACATCCCTATATGCTTGGTACTAATTCATTCATGTGAAAGTTGAATTCCTCTTTGGGAAAATAATTTTTCAAGAAATAGTTATCGTATTAATGGATTGGATTTAGGCTTTTGTACCATTAGTAAGAGCCAAAAGCATAATAAAAATTTAACAATCATCAAATATTCTATTATATACTAAGTACGCACATTGTGCGATATGTCCGGCGCATTAATTTAATAAAAGTTCTATAATTTCATATGCATGAGCGGACACATCCAGTTTACCTGTACATCCGCTTCGCTCACAATTAACAAAAGGATTTACATCATTTTGTCTAAAAACTTATTTCCAAAAATACAATCATTCCGAACCATTATCCTTTATATTTTCAAAGCGGTCATCACTTAAGGTGCAGGCAAAACTTGGTGTCATAACGACAATGACGTTACACTAATCGTTACTACATAGTTGTAACACTTAACGGCATACGGCAAAAATTTTATGTCGCAACTTAAAAAGGATAACAAATCATTTCGAAAAATAATTATATGAAATCAAAGTAATGCTATCTTGAACAGTTAACTCCAAGCTATAGATTTTGAAGTCTTTATATTCGAATGTGCGTTATTAAGTTGTCAGGCAATTATATAGTAATAATAATACCCTGACCTCTCACATGATAAAAAACGTCATTTAACACATCATTTAAACCATAGTATAAAATGAAATATAAATTTAATAATTCATGTACTTTTCTTTTTAAATCGTCAAAAAAACGATCCTGCTTCTGATTTTTATTCGTTATTCAACTTATAGCGATCCATCCAATACTCGTTGAAAGGGCATCGAAAGAAACTATGACGTGGCTAACCGATTTAATTTATATTAACGATGTTTAACCTGATTTTAGCCTTGTTACATCTGAAGATAAAGTACCGTAGCTATTGCAGGTTTTCTTTTTGAATTCATTATTTAAGTAAAGAAACTAAATAATACGGTCAGAATCATTATACCAGTGTGTTAAGAATTACTATTGAGAAACTAGTAGTGCTAAAGAGATATATATATTTATATTTAAACTTATGTTTGTAATGCAATAAATAACGTTTAAATTTTATATCCCAAGAATAATTATGAAAATACTGAAATCGACAACGAATATTATAATAAGAATTCTTATAATAAACACAAATTCAAGTTTTAATTTTACCAATAAAGTTAAAAAATTTTTTAGTCGTTAAAATAATTCAAAAACTTCAATGTACTGTACACTCTAAAATGCTGTAATAGTTAGCCGGGTTATTAGCATAATAACAGATATATTCTAACAGTTAATAATTCTAACGTTAATTATCTCGGGTTTTCGGCCAAAAATTGATACATCAAATCCTCGGGGAATAAAATCATATTTCCGGTTTGCATATTACGATCGTTAGTTTTATTTTTCAAAATATAAATGTTATTTTATATCAGATATAAAGTATAATAATGCATCGAAGTAAATCACAGTAAATCACAGAAAACATCGATTGCAAAATGTAGTACGTATCGGTATATCAATAATAGTATGGTCAAATTTAATAATATTTTGTTTAGTGATGTAAAAATATAATAAAAATCTTATATTTTAATAGCGTTAGTTCAAAAAAATTTTACATTTCTCGAAAAAAAAAATTTAGTGCAACTCACTTTTTAAAAAATTGTAAAAAATTGTATGTTTTTTGTTTTTACGAGATAAAATTTTAGATATTATGTTATTAGCTCGGTACTTTAATTTTAATCAACAGTTAATCACATAATTTATTGTTATCAAAAACAGAATTTATTAAATTATATTACAGATTTCACATGTTCCTGCTCAGATCGTTCATAAATTAAATCAATTAAAATTTTAGAATTTCAAATGTGGAAATGGTCATGTGAAAGAGATTGCTATAAACTATAACAACTCTTCAACATATGTTTAATTTTAAAAAATAATCTATTAGTCACTAGAGAATTACTCAGACAGTCCTGATAAAGCATCCATGTATGGTTTACAGAACGGTAAATCGTTTTATTGAAATTTAGGATAATGATTTTTTTTTTAAAAAGAAAAATTGTAATCTTTTCATTACACATTATCCTATAATATAATTGGTTGATTGTATTCCGTGACTGTCACTTCGGCGATAAATAGTTCTCTATTAAATTTTGCAATATAATTAATATCTTGCTTTATTAATATGACATAAAATAACCCAACTGTAGCTATAGGATATATTGCAAATGCTGGTATGTTATTATATAAAATTCTTGCCAATTAATCACATTCTTAATTTTAAAGATGTGTTAAACTTTTTATTTCAATAGATCCTGACTATAATTCTCCTGGAAATTTACAATTTACAATTTCTAGATATTAAGCAGGGTAAATATATATCTCTATCTACTTTAAGTTTTATTAATCTTTTGATTTTTAAGGGCAGTTTATAATATTTGGGGTTATATTGAGCAAGATCCAATTTCAAAGCTAGGTAAGTTTTAGGTTAAGCAAGCTAAATATTGAACTCAGCCTTATAACCATGTTAATTTTATTGTTATATGTTTGGATACAATAACAGATGTCAAATTTTCGCCTGATAGAAAGTTTATTTTTTCTACTGATGCATCTATTAAGGTAGTTTAATAACTTTACAATACCAAATTATTATTATTATTATTATTATTATTATTATTCCTATTACTATTATTTATTAAACCTTTATTTGTTAACGGAAATTATTAGGTCTGAGATGGTTCTATACACATATGGGACATGTTGTCTCAAACTACACTATGTACATTTACTGGTGAAAAGGATATAAATGTCATATCAATTTTACCTAATGATTAATATATTGCACTTGACGGGATAATAAACACTGTATTTGTTTATGATAAACGATATTTAACAGAGAGCCTTCATGTGCTAAAACATGATAGTAAGTCGAGATTTAAACATACAATTATTTTATTTATAACTTTTTGAGTTTAACCTATTATTTTTTTTTAAAATATTCAGATGATGGACGTTTACACGATGGGATAATGTCTTACAGTGGATTCCTGACACTAACTTTCTTGTTAGTGGAGTAAATTATAATTGCGTAAAAGTTTGGGATGCCTCGTTACCCTCGTTATCTTCAAGTAACATGGTCTTTCAGTTTCCACATCACGACATCCAGGTTATATTAATTCAGATATTATCAGGTAATTATTAGTTATTTAATTATCACCATTATTAGCTCTATTTTTTAATAACGTTTATATTTGGAATAGATTTGAATTTAATGACTGTCGGAGTATCTTCGGAGGAAAATGTACGTTTATTCATCAAATAAAACATTCGTTCAAGAAAGTAATAAATTGAAATACTTATAAATAGAGATTGAGCCCACTCACACACCAACCTGGGAGCCGAAATTTACTGTAATATTCCAGATTGACCTGGGGAAAATTTATAATTTGATTGGGCCAATTTGTATTATAAAGTACAGCATATATACATACATCAGTCATACACTAAATTAGGACGATGTATATCGCTATTGTCTGTAATATGAAATAAAACGGAACCTGCTGCATTGAACTTTAATGAGTTATAAATAATGTAATGAACAAAAGCTAAAATGACTATAAGAGATACAGAAATAATATATACATTGTAAACATGAAATAATGCCCAACTGGTATTATTTAATTAACATGTGCTTTATTTCAAATAAAAGTTAATTTTTCAACTTGATATTTTTAAATAAAGTGCATTTACCCTTGTACAATGTGATCTATCTACAATAAAAGTAAAAAGTCCTTATTACAGTATTATTGCTATTACTATTAAAATTTATATATAGGTTTTCTCATATATGTCTATAAAGACCACATATTTTGACTATAATAATTTTTGGGATACCCATTAGCGTTGTTCTGAGAATAGAGGTTGTACCCGCCGTCAAATTTACCTTCCAGGTCACCCAACCATTTACAGGTAATATACTGAATTATAAACCGAGTTACATAAATTAATTCGAGTAAACATATCAGATATACATTTCGGTTTACCGGCTTATTACATTATAAAATCATTATTTTAATTTTGAAAATGTCATAGGGCATAACTAATTGAACGTTTCTAAGAAAAAAAAAAAAAGTTTATTATTCATCGGTTTTATCGAATAATTTATAATGGATATAAATCTGATGAATTAGTCAAAAAAAAAAACGGTCAGACTTTTTTTTGGTTAGCACCTACATATTATGTACATAAAAAAATTTTTTTATATACGTATTATTATTGTTTTCTTGAAAATTTCCATGTTTTTGTTACACAAATATCCTGAGATCTGATTGATTAATCATATAAAACGGGTAAATACAAATAATTTTAAAAGAACTCTTTTTTATCATAATTATTTTTGCGTATAAACTATTATAAAATTAAATTCTTTAAAAAGTTTTAAAAAATATTTTTAAAGTAAAAGAGGTATAGTGGCTTATTCTTATTCTACTTACGCTTGTTATTTTGATTTCGCGTCAAATTTGAAAATGTTTATTGCGTTATTTCAGGAGATAAAATGGATGCTCATTTTATTTAATCTAAAATTTTAAATATTCTAATCTTTAATTAATAATTTTAATGTTCACAATTTATTTGCCAATAAGCTTTACTTTTAAATACGATTTCTCTGGATGCTTCACGATGTCTTTTGCCGGATCAACTTATGAAGAGAACATTTTTGCTACTGACTTTGCGGTAAAAAGTCTTGCAACCCGGTGAATAAATTGTGTTTTGTTCCAATAAGCAGTCCTTTTGCTGCGACTAAGGCATTGAAACAACTATATACTAACAAGGTATGTTTCCATACACTCCTTAGAAATTTTTTTGTAATTATTCGTAATATATATATTTTTTATATATTAGACGTAATGAATAAAGTTATTCGAAAGTTGTTGGAAAATTTATTGCACATAGACAATCGGTATGATACTGAATGGAGAAAAGCTACTATGGCAAAAGTAGCTGCTGAATGAATTACTCTTTAGTCGTGACTACACGATTAACAGAACAATGAAGCAAGGAGCTTTTTTTGTGAGTTATTTTAATTAAAAGAACATTGTTAGTTATTGATCATTTTATTGATTATATAGTTTTTAAATTTTAAATAGGATGGTGATAATCAAATATATAATAAAAAACACATCTTAGCCATACTTTCTTATATGGCTTTAAATGACATATGGGACCAATCAACAACTGTATGTTATAATTTTAATTGCTTTAATTTGTTGATATACAAATTACATTATTTATATATTAATAGACATCTTTTTATGTTAGCCTTCTCCGATCATTCATAAACTAAATCAACTAAAACCTTATAATTTTAAATGCGGAAGTGGTGAAGTGAATGAGATTGCCTTAAATTATAACAACTCTTCAGCGTATTATGCTAAAAGGAGGAAAGTTACCATAGCAAAAGAAGTTGTTGAATGAATTACTCTTTGCGCGCGACTACAAGATTAAAAGAGCAATGGAGCAAGGAGTTTTTTTTGTGAGTTATTTTAATTAAAAGAACATTGCTGGTTATTGCCCATTTTATTGATTATATAGTTTTTAAATTTTAAATAGAATGGTCTTAATTTCTTACATGGCTTTAAACGATATATGGGACGAATCCAAAACTGTATGTTATAATTTTAATTGCTTTAATTTGTTGATATACAAATTACATTATTTATATATTAATATACATCTTTTCATGTTAGCCTTCATCCGAGTCTCCGATCATTCATAATCAATTAAAATCTTATAATTTCAAACGTGGAAGTGGTAATGTGAAAGGGATTGCCACAACCTATAACAATTCTTCAGCATATGATGCTGAAAGGAGGAAAGCTACCATGGCAAAGAATGGGTTACTCTTTATGCGCGACTACAAGATTAAAAGAGCAATAGAGCAAGAAGCTTTTTTTGTGAGTTATTTTAATTAAAAGAACATTGTTGGTTATTGATCATTTTATTTATTATATAGTTTTTAAATTTTAAATAGAATAGTATATCATATGATAACCAACCATATTATAACGAAAATATCTCGGCAATAATTTCTTACATGGCTTTAAACGACATATGGGACGAATTCAAAACTGTATGTTATAATTCTAATTGTTTTAATTTGTCGATATACAAATTACATTATTTATATATTAATATACATCTTTTTATGTTAGCCTTCGCCTGAGAGTCTCCGATCTAGAGACATGCGAATTTTGTGATTTGCTATGATTCAAGTAAATCACAGTAAATCACAGATTGCAAAATGTAGTATTAATAGCTATATCAATAATAGTATGGTCAAATTTAATAAATTATTGTAATATTTTGTTTAGTGATGTAAAAATATGATAAAATCTTAATATTTTAATAGCGTTAGTTCAAAAAAATTTTACATTTCTTGAAAAAAAAAAACAATTTAGTGCAACTCACTTTCTAAAAAATTGTAAGTTTTTGTTTTTAGGAGATAAATTTTAGATATTATGTTATTAGATCGGTACTTTAATTTTAATCAACAATTAATCACATAATTTATTGTTATTGTTATCAAAAACAGAATTTATTAAATTATATCACAGATTTCGCATGTCCCTGCTCCGATCGTTCATAAATTAAATTAATTAAAATCTTAGAATTTCAAATGTGAAAGTGGTAATTTGAAAGAGATTGCTATATATTATAACAACTCTTCAACGTATGTTTAATTTTAAAAAATAATCTATTTGTAACTAGAGAATTACTCAGGACAGTCCTGATAAAGCATCCATGTATGGTTTACAGAACGGTAAATCGTTTTATTGAAATTAGGATAATGATTTTTTTTAAAAAAAAAATTGTAATCTTTTCATTACACATTATCCTATAATATAATTAGTTGATTGCATTCCGTGACTGTCACTTCGGCGATAAATAGTTCTCCATTAAACTTTGCAATATAATTAATATCTTGCTTTATTAATATGACATAAAATAGCCCAACTGTAGCTATAGGATATATTGCAAATGCTGGTATGTTATTATATAAAATTCTTGCTATAATATTACATTCTTAATTTTAAAGATGTGTTAAACTTTTTATTCCAATAGATCCTGACTATAATTCTCCCGGAAATTTACAATTTCTGATATTAAGCAGGGTAAATATATTTCTCTATCTATTTATAACATATTTTAAATTTTATTAATCTTTTGATTTTTAGGGGCAGTTTATAATATTTGGGGTCATATTGAGCAAGATCCAATTTCAAGCTAGGTAAGTTTTAGGTTAAGCAAGATAACCATGTTAATTTTATTGTTAGATGTTTGGACTACAATAACAGGTGTCAAATTTTCGCCTGATGGAAAGTTTATTTTTTTTAGCATCTACTAATGTATCTATTAAGGTAATTAATATTATTGGACGGGAATATAAAATATTCATAACCTTACAATACTATTTTATTATTATTATTATTATTTATTAAACCTTTATTTTGTTAACGGAAATTGCTAGGTCTGGCAAACTAACACCAAACAAAAGGTATATAAGTTATCTACATCGATTATCAGTATGTAAAAAACCAACTTACGAAACAAAATATCAGTTTGCGTCGTGCGAAAATTCGGGGGTATGTACGTTTGTCTGGATATTATTACTGTGGAATTAATACATTTATAATAGTTTTATTATATAAAAAATAGTTTTATTACATAAAATATAGGTTGGTTCAAGTTCACTTTATAAGATATGACAGAAAACAAATTTATTCTATGGCATCGCATGAATTTATTGAGGAAAAATTTAAGAGAGTATCGAATGATGTTAATTTTGTTTCGAGTTATCAGGTTATTGCTGCGTATAATGGCAGTCAAAGAGATTCCACTGGTATGATTAAAGTTTGGGATATAAATAGCAGAAATAAGACATGCCATAATAAACAATCAATCTCTGGTAGTGTTAGTTGCTTAGATATTTCACATGATGGTAGGATCTAAAATATTTGATATTTTATATATAGTAGTTTATTAAATGATTCGAAAATTGTATGTTTTTTTTTAGAAAAATGGATCACTTGCGGAACTACTGCTGAACTTAATAAAGTGGGAGATGGTTCTATACACATATGGGACATGTTGTCTCAAATTACACTACGGATATAAATGTCATATCAATTTCACCTAATGATTGTGACGGATTAAAATGAA